TTTCTGATCAGTTTGTCCTTTTTTGATCTTTTGCTGCACTTTTTAGTATTTTTTTTGCTAATTTTTGGAGTTTTGTTTCTATTTTTGATCATTTTCTGGTCTTTTTCTTGTAAGGTCCATAAAAAAGGATGTAAGGCCGACAAGGAGAAAATGGTCCAAAATAAAAACGCTCCATGAAGTAAATTAACAGGGAAAACCTAGAGAGACACAAACCAACAGAAAGCAGCTGTGTGTTCATGAAGGCTTCGTTTCAGACGCTTCCTCTTTAGTTCCTGGAGGACACAACACGTTCTGGGGTCCCACTTCCTGGTTTTTGCGTGACCGGGACAGCAGCAGGTCTCTCCAAGCTGAACGTTTTGGTCATTTTATTGCTAATTATTATAGTTTTGTCACAGTTTTTGATAAATTCCTGGTCTTTTTCTATAGTTTTTCTGTAGTTCTGTGTCTTTTTTAGTCATTTTCTGATCAGTTTGTCCCTTTTTTGGAATTTTGCTGCACATTTTCGGTCATTTAATTGCTAATTACCAGAGTTTTGTTACCATTTTAAAAAACAATCATTTTCTGGTCTTTTCTTGTAAGGTCCAGAAAAAAGGATGTGAGGCCGACACAGAGGGGGAGGAAGAGAGCAACTAAAAAGGAGAAAATGGTCCAAAATAAAAACGCTCCATGAAGTAAATTAATGGTGGGAAAACCTAAAGATACATATACTGACAGAAAGCAGCTGTGTGTTTATGAAGGCTTCGTTAATAATTAGAGTTTTGTCACAGTTTTTGATAAATTCCTGGTCTTTTTCTATACTTTTTCCGTAGTTCTGTGTCTTTTCTAGTCATTTTCTGATCAGTTTGTCTCTTTTTTGATCTTTTGCTGCACTTTTCAGTAATTTTATTGCTGATTATTGGAGTTTTGTTTCCATTTTTGATCATTTTCTAGACATAAACCACAGAGCTTCATAGACAGAGAGCAGCTCTGTGGTTATGAAGGCTTGGTTTCAGACGCTTCCTCTTTAGTTCCTGGTGGACACGGCGCGTTCTTGGGTCCCGCTTCCTGGTTTTTGCGGGTCCCTCGGACTTCCCTGCCCGGCTGGAGGAGGAGATGACCCCTGTTGGGAGGTGCCAGCAGCTCCCTCTGCTCTCCTTCTCCTTGTCCTCCTCCTCCCAGACCGGAGGAGACGCCACTAGTTTACCGTAGTTTGTAGTTTTTTGCGGGTTATTCGCTCCGGTTTGGGACTTCCAGATCCGCCCTGCGCGCGCAGTTATAGGCATCCCCCGCGCGACAGGTTGCTCTCAGCTTTCTGGGCATTGTTCGGCCTTTTCCTGGCCGGAGGGTGATGCTATCTGTGTGGCTTTTCCTGCAGTTTGGCTGCTGAGGAGCATCCGGTTGGACGGACGGACGGAGCGTTTTCCAGCCGCTTTTTCTGTGGGTTTTCGGGTGGGTTGCGGTGGTTTTTTCCCCCTATCTGGATGAGAGAACAGCGCCATGCTGCCGTTTCTGCTTCTGCTGCTGGAGCTCTGCCTGCGGGCGTCTGCGCAGGAACAGGTAACGCGCACCCTTTTACGCACACTTTTACGCACCGCTCACTTTTACGCACCGTACACTTTTACGCACCGCTCACTTTTACGCACCGCACACTTTTACGCACAGACCCACAGAGTCCAGACTCCCCCCCACCCACTCCGCGTTCCGGCTCTCTTAGGTTGTTTTTACCGGTGAGGATCAAGAAAAACCGCGAGAGGAGGCTGAAGTTTAGCGTTAGTCCCGTTTGTCTGTGGAACTTTTCCTCTTTCCACCGGACTCAGGGTAATAAAACGCAGGACTTCTGAGCTCTCGATGTGCGCTGCGCGGCATTTTGTGAACGTTACAGGCCTCAGTCTGAAGATCAGGACAGATAAGGGTCATTTTGGGCTCCGTGAACGCAACAAAGGTCAGTTTAGTTTCTGAGCAGAAGTTCAGAGCAGCAACGAGCAAAGTCTGAAAATACAGGAGGATATACTGATTTGTTATATAGATACAGCAGATTTGTAACAAAAAAGAGGGTGTAAAAATAAAAATAAACCTTAATTAAAAAAAAAAAGTATAGCCTATATATGTAAGACTTGGGATAGACTCACTTTAGAAATGGAAAGAGTTAAGAAATCTTCAGAAATCTTAAGATGACTGACTGACTGTATTTTGTACATATGTAGTTTGTATACATTTTGTATATATATATATTTATTACATATATATATTTATTACATATATATGTTTGTATATACAGTATATAGTCTGATTTGTATCCTGAGAAACAGCAGGTGCAGGGAGATGGATGTACTAACATGAGACAGTTCTGATCAGTTTTCATATTTATAGTTAATATATTATGTGGATTGTGTGCCTGTTTGTGTAACTTGTCTCAAGATTCTATTTTTAAAGTCCAACTCAAAGTGTTCTCTGTTTCAGGGCTGTTGTCAAACTCTGGTTAAAAGCCAGTTTTCTACTCAGTTCTGCTCACATGACTACATTTCCCATGATGCACTGGGGTCTCTGCCAGGCTCCTCTGCCCCAAATCATGTGAATCTGCGGTTTGAAGGCAGAAAATGCTGAGAAACATTTAGTTCCTGAGGAGCAAAAACAATTGAAGCAAAAATAAAAGAAATCAAATAATATTTCTGAAAAATGATAGAAATATAGAATTATTCTCAGTTTTTCTTCAAATGTCACAATGTTATTTTTAAAATAATTGAAAAACATTTGATTGATCCATTAATTATTTATGTGAGAAACATTTAGTTCCTGAGTAGTAATTCATAAATAAATAGATAAACAGATAAATAGAATAATGGAATAAAGCAGCAAAAATGAAATAAATCAAGTAAATCAGAAAACTGCGAGAAATACACAATTAATCTCAGTTATTTTTTTATTTCTGTCCTTTTTGGGGGATTTACTGATACTAAAAGTGTTTCTTTGTGAAGTGAAGTACCTTCACTTGTTGTGTTTGTGCCTGAAAACCAGGTTTATTTTTGGGTTTGTTGACGGGATTTCTAACTTCCACCAGGCCTGTTTTCCAAGGATTTTGTAGTAAGAGAGACAGATAAAGCGTCCTTTTTTCCATGTGCTGTTGTTTGGGTTCTGTCTGCTGCTGTTTTGGGGGATTTTTCTGTTTGCTTTTGTTTCCTGGGTCTCTTTCCGAACATAAAGACCCAACAAACGGGCTCCTCCGGCTGGTGTCAGGCTGGTTTGTTTCTGCTTTTCAGCCTGGACTATTTAGCACATTTTTACACGTTTTTGACAGATTTGATCAAAGAAAAACGGACATTCTTCTTTATTTTCTACCACAGATGGTTCTAGACGTTTGTCCAGCCGATGGAAGCAGGTTTATTTCTAAACGGGTTTCAGTTCAGTAAATATTGACCTGATTTATTTCCCTTTATTTAGTTTATTCTTAGATGGGAAAACTTGATGGAGGAAGAACAGAAAATCTATTCAGAGTAAAAAATACAAACAGCAAATTGGAAAATCAGGCAGAAGTTTAATATTTATTCTGGGTTTTTAGAGCTCTTCTCTTTTTTTCTTCAGTTATTATTGATTATTGGAGGTTTTGGAGCTCTTTTTATAGCGTTTCAGCCTCCAGCTGTGCGTAGAAATAAACCAGATTGACAGTGTGTTTGCTTTTTATAAACTCATATGGACTTTATTAACACCCAGTTTTCTTTTTGTTATGGTTTTTATGCAGTTTTGTGTCTTCTTTTGTCTTTTTTCTGATCAGCCTTTCCATTTTTTTGGTGTTTTGCTCCATATTTTGGTCATTTTTTGCTAAATATTGTAGTTTTGTGTAATTCTTTTCTCATTTTCTGGTCTTTGCTGTGTTTTTCTATTTTTGTGTCTTTATTTGTCTTTTTCTGATCAGTTTATCCCTTTTTCTGGTCTTTTGCTCCACATTTGGGACAT